CGGGCGGGAGGCGCGGGCGCTGCCCCGGCGGCGCTGTCAGAGCCGCGCTGCCGCCCGCACCTCGCGGCGGAGGGAGCGGGGCAGGGCCGGGCGGGGGCGGGACGCGCCGTCAGCTGATCGCACACGTGGGGGCGCGGCCCGGCCGCCCTTAAAGGCGTAGGAGCGGTGCGGCCGCGCCGCTGCGGATCTCGGGGCGCTGCCGTCCCGCAGCCTGACAGAGGCCAGGGAAGGGCCACGGACTGCAGCACAAGTCCTGGGAGGAGCGGCTGAGGGAGCTGGGGTGTTTGTCCTGGAGAAAAGGAGGCTCAGGCGTGACCTTATCACTCTCTACAACTGCCTGAAAGGAGGCTGTGGCCAGGTGGGGGTCAGCCCTTCTCTCAGGAAACCAGTGACAGGGTGAGAGGACATGGTCCTAAGCAACGCTGGGCGGGGTTCGGTTGGACACCAGGAAGAATTTCATCACATAAGGGATGATTAGACACTAGAATGCCCAGGGAGGCTGAGGAGTAACTCAAACACCCGAGGAGGTGTTTAAGGAAAGACTGGATGTGGCACTTAGTGTCATGGTCTAGTTGAGGTCGTGGTGTTTGGTCACAGATTGGACTCGATGATCTCATAGGTTTCTTTCCTAATCAGATTGATTCTGTGGTGGTTTCCTTAAACACCCTTGAAAGCAACGCCCATGTCTCCTACTGCAACCTGACATCCCAACCTGAGGCTTTTTCACAAATTTAAGGTGTTAGTAGCAATGCCTGACTCCTGGAGAAATGGAAGGAAACTTCTCCATGTGTGTGACAGTAGGATAGGAAATCTAAAAATGACACATCAAGTGAAAGAATAAGGGGAAAAAACAGAGTGTAGTTAAAAGAAGTAGGAGAGTAGGCAAGGAGATAGAAGAAAACAGCTGTAAATGAGGAGCCAGGAGCAATAGGGAATCGATATTTATAAGGATATTGGTGAGCAGTTCACCTACATCTAGTAAACTGTGGTGGGGCAACATAAATTACAATTACTGCTCTGAATTTTGTAACTAATTAAGGCCTGTTGTGGACAGTCTTAATTACTGTATCCAGAGAGTGTTGATAAGATGTTCCCCTTGAGCCTGCCCAAAACACATCTTGCCAATGGATAATTCATTTTCCTCATACATCTAGTCTAGAAAAAAAAAAAATATTCCTCTGACCGTCCTTACTTTACTTTGAGATTCAATATCAAATACATCTGCATAGCAACTCAAGTTTAATTTAGATGAGAGCAAATGAATTCTTTTGCTTTTAATTATTTAGAGGTTCATTAATTTTAGTACTTTAGTAGGTAATGGATGGAAGGAGGGATACAGGCTTGGCCCTTCCTTATATTCAGCATTTTGGCTGTTTTTCATGTAGTCACAGCCATTGCTGGCAACTGTCTCTTGATCATGAAATGTCCTTTTGACAGGGGGAACTACAGTGTAAAGACTACTTTAGCCACTACAGGGGTGGGTAAAGTAGGCCTCTCAATAATGTAACACAGGAGCAAGAAACTGATTTCATCACACTTCTGTCATCACATGTGATTTTTAACATTTTGCAGTGCTTTCCCCTTAACAATTAAAACTGTTTATTTCTTCTTTTTTAGCAGTAATACATCATTCTTGAGAACTGCTGCCTTTTGAAGTGCTTGCTTCTCTAAATGAAGGGTGACTGAAATGAGAACATCAAGGACAAGCAGATATTTCAGAACTGTTTCCTGTGAGACAAATAGGAAAGGACTGGGAATTATTTCTTCTATAACTGATTGAGAAGAAAATAGAATTATGAATCTAGAGAATTGCTGCAGAGATTCTGCTGTGATAGGAAAAGAAATAATTGGCTTTTATTGCAAGAAGGAAGATTAAGTTCAGCTACTGGAAAATAATGGGAAGGATGTTTCAACATGGACAGACATCAAAGCTAGCAGAATTTCTGAAAGTAGCCATGAGTTATAATAACATTTCTCAGATGTAGTTTTAGTTACTTAGCACTGATGTACATCTGGAGAAAAAGAACTAGAAGACCCCTCTGTTTTACATGAAGCTGATAGATCTGATTATGAAGATGCAGTGTGTTAATATATCCCAAGAAAAATGTTTATTCTGTTTCGTAAGTGTGATTTTCTTTCTAGCTGATAAACAAGACCTCATGATCTGAACACAAAATCAGTTTTAAAAAATCAAGAAATTTGTCATGTATACAATAAAAATCTCACAAACTTGATCAAAAGAGAAGTCAAGCTTAAATTTATGCATTAGTCCTTCTGTTCAAGGAATACATTATTCCTTGGGCCATTGCATAGCCTTATGGCACATTAATTTTATTACATAAAGTGGAGATTAACATTGAACAATAGCAGAATGTAAGCAGAATACAAGTCCTATAGCACATGCCTTCCAGCCTACATAGAAGTCATGATGTTGCTGAGATTTTTCTAGCAAGTCCTGTAAGATTTCTTTCATCTAAAATGAAGTTCAGTTTCATATTGGAATATATGCCTAATGCAGTGTAAGTTATCTTCATAAAGAAGCTTGTCAACAGGAACTCATATGTAAAGATAGGAAGGAAGAGATCAAAGTATTTAAATGGAGCAAACGACATGTGTTGGCTGTGAGGTAATTAGTCTGGTTCCAAAAATGGAAGTGAGCTTATGCACAGAAGCACAAGTTTCTCTTCAGTGAAATCCTGTCTCAAGAAAAATTTTCTGCAAACTTGTATGAAAAATAATCAATCTGGGACTCAGACTTTGACCCTGAGAAGTGCTGAGTACAACATTGCTTCTGTCACTGCAATTTAATGAGTGTTTAACCTAAGAGCAGCACCTGACAAATTCAAGCATTTGTAGCTCTAGCAGTTAGCAAACTCTGGTAGTGGATTTGACATAAAGGTGTATTTGTTACTTAATAGATATCAGCAAAATGGGAATTTAGAATGTGAATACTAATTAATATGCCTATTTCCAAATATATTTGAATGGAATGAGTATATTTTTTGGAATTGCATAGCCAGCTGTATATATGAAAAATTGTCCAGTGAGCATTATCTTGGAAAACAACTTGAATGGCAGGCAGTACCTCTTTTATTCATATTGCTTTAATTTCCAGACTCGTTAGTTAAACAGATTCTGTCATAATAATGCTTGTGTAGAAGTCCTGCAGAAAGCAGTGCTGCTATTTATCCAGTAGATGTACATAGACAGAGTGTTGGCACATCATGGTTTGAATGACTTGAAAACTGGGTATTTTACAAAAGGTTCCCTAAAACAAAAAGACCCAGTAGCACATCAGTGACTGAGACAATCTAAACCACTTTGCCACATGAGAATAATTTAATTCTTTAAAAGGACAAAGTACATGGTAAGTTTGTTCTCCCCTTGCTCTCTGCATCCCACCCATTTTTTAACAGAGGAAAGGCAAATGATTATTTTTTATTATTAGCAAGAAGGTGGTTGTTTTAATCACCAGGTTTTACTGATATAAGGAGACCTGATAGCTCTGTTTAAGAACATTAATTACTGGAGGGGCACAATATTTTACCCTTTTAATTAAAGTTGAGAAGAAAAGTATTTATTATCTTTGAAAGAACTGGAAGAAGCTACCTTACTCATACTTGTGAACATTAGTTTTCCAGGGTACAAGGTTGTTACATCAGCAATCGTCCCATCTTGGCAACTCATAGGATAGCTAGTAGGAAAGCAAAACATAATTTATACCTTCTGGTTAATACCATATACTTACTCTGGAAAAATAAAATCTGTAGGAAAAAACTCTCACTCCTATCCTCCCCTCAAAGTTCTGTCTTCATATTTCATTTTTCTCCTGCTTTTACAACATCTCTGAGATAAGTTTTGGCATGTTTTGCTGCTTTGCACTGCACCTCATGTAATCCTGGTCCATTTTCTTGTAGTCACTAAATTTCCCAATTTTTTTTTTCCTTATTCAGTATCCATGTGATGTCACTCATATCTTCTCCACAAAGTTGTGTCTTCCTCCTTGAATTTTTCCACTGCTTTTGCAACATCTCTGAGGTCAGTTTTGGCATGTTTGTGTCCTTTGCACTTCACCTCATTTCCTGCCAGACATTTTCTTGTAGTCACTAAATGTCCCAATTTTCTGGGTTTTGGGGTTTTTTTTCAGGCACATTTCGTTTGATCCTATCTCCTTTCCAGAGTGCTTGTGAGTCTTTCTTTTCTGGGTCGCAAGATTTCGTTTTTCTTCCCGAAAGGAAATTTCATTTCAGAAACGAAATCTTGCGATTTCAATGGGAATCAAGTGGGCAATCTTTGGACCATGTCCCTGCAGTTCCTGGCATCCCATGCCTTTTGATGGCTTTGACATTGGCGAAGATTTTTTTCTTTTTTTCAGTATCCATGCCATGTCACTTCTATCCTCCCCTCAGTGTTCTGTCTACATACTTGCTTTTTTCTCACATAAAAATGTGGACTTCTTTGATTTAGCATGCTCATACAGCAATATAAAGGTTCCCAAATGCTACAAAAACCTTTATTTTTTATGGCTAGAAATTTAGAATTGGATGCCTTAGAAGGTACAAACTGTGCTTAGTTCAAGAATACAAATGATGTGATAAAACAGTCTCTGACTTCATTGGCAGAATAGAAAAGAAGTTGGACAAAATAGGAAGTTAAGATTAGTTAGAAGAGTTCTGTTGTTCAGCAGCTGGAAAACGGATAGGAAAAAATATTTGAATGGTCTAATGGTAATAGATTTCTAGGCATACATTTTAACAATAAATGCATGTGGCCAATTGTGACCAAAAGTATTTCCTAGAAATATCCAGAAGGGCATAAAAATGTAAAAAGAGCTGGACAGAGAAATGAAAGAATGAAGTTTTCATTAGGAGAGTTTGAATATTAAATAGATGCCAAGAGCAGTCAGCAGTTTTATTTGCAGCTCAAATTTCAGTAACTTGGAACCTGCTGTTAATCAAACTCATGTAACTTACCGGGA